ATCCATCCATCCATCATCCACCCATCATCCATCATCCACCCATCATCCATCCATTCATCCATCATCCACCCACCCATCATCCATCATCCACCCATCCATCCATCCATCATCCATCCATCCATCATCCACCCATCATCCATCATCCACCCATTCATCCATCATCCACCCATCCATCCATCCATCATCCATCCATCCATCCACCCATCATCCATCCATAATTACATCATCCATCCATCCAACGTATCATCATCCATGCAGCTATGTATCCATCTATCCATCTACTCACTCAATGTCAATTTATCCATTCATTTTCCATCCAACTATCCATTTAATCACCCATCCATTTATCTGTCTACTCATCCATACATCATCTGTCCCTCCAATCATCATCCAGCTATCTATCCATTCACCCCCTCATTCATTTATCTATCCTTCCATCATTAAGTCATCATCCATCTACCCACTCATTAGCCACATCTCTTCATTCATCTTACACACACCACTCATCCATTCATTCATCATCCATCCATCCATCCATCAATTCATCTATCTATCCATTCATTCATTCATTTTTCTATCTATCTATCTATCTATCTATCTATCTATCTATCTATCTATCTATCCATCCATTAATTCATCTCATCCATCTGCCCATCCATTCACTGTCCATCATCCATCTGTGTATCTATCATCCATTCATGTATCTATCAGTTTTCTCCATCTGATGATCTGTCACCCACCCATCCAACCTATCATTCATTCATCTCCCTATTTATACATTCATAAGTCTCCTCTTTCTTTTTCCTTCTATTCATCCATTCCCCACCTTCCATCCACCCCGTTCCCATCCATCCACTATATTCATTAATTTTTCCTTTCTCTTTAATAAGTATTTACTAAGTACCCATTATTATCCAGCCTCAAGTGGGGAGCTCTGGGAGCTCAATATATATCAATAGTTGATGTTGTTCTTATGTGTCATCGAGTTGACTAACTCATTGCGACCCTATGAACTATACAGCTCTGAAAGCTGCCCTGTCCTGTGCCATCCTCACCATCTCTGACACACTTGGGCCCATTGGTTCAGTCATTGTGTCAACCTGTCTTGTTGAGGTCTTCCTCTAATCAACAGACAGCAATAATATCAATACAAAGACCTCATAAGCTATTAGAGAGACCGTCGTAGAAACCAGATGAGCAGATGCCTACAACTTAGAGGGGGAAATGTTGAGTTTGAATAATCTCTTCTCTCTGGATTTTTGGGGGCCGCCATTCTTTCTACCCACTTCCACACCGCCTGACTTCCCACCCCACTGAAGGGTGCCTCCTGGAACGCATACCCACACACGGGGCTAGGCGACCCGTCCTTGGCATGCTGGTCACTCCCTCTCCCTTAGCACACAGACACTGGCAGTGACCCAGAATGTCCTGTGTGTGCCACCATGCACTCCTCCATACTCCCTGGGGGACACCTGTGGGCCCCTTACAAAGAGGACATCAAGGATGCAATATTTATGGATTGCAGCAAGATTCCTGAAAATGAATAAAGCTGTTTACAAGGAAAATATCAAACAAACAATCTTATCTTTGGAAGAGGTACGTGCAACCTAAGACAGACATGTAAAATTGTGTATCTATGTATGTTTACAAATTTCTGGGGGAGAGTCTATAGGTTTAATCAGATTCCCAAAGACATTAAGAAATTTAGTTGCAGGCATTTTCGTTGACTAAGTGGCAGCAGCCTTTGAACTGGAGTAAAAACTGTCACGAGGCCAGAGTTACGGACTGACTTGTAGCCCCCCCAGGAAGCTATGTTGACGTCCCAACTCCTGGTACCTGTGAGTGTGACCTTGATTGGAAACAACATCTTTGGAGGTGTCACCAGTTAACGTGAGGTCATGCTGGAGGAGGACAGCTCCTAACCCAACATGCCTAGTGCTTTCACAAAACAGAAGAGATCACACCAAGCAAAAGGAAGCCAGCTCGGTGATGACGTGGCTTGGAGAGGAGAGGGAGCGCTCTAAGCCATGGCTCCCTTAGCCGTCACCATACACGACAGACTCTTCTTCAGAGCCCTCAGAATGCATCAACATGACCCACTCCTTGATTGTTGGATGTCCAGCCTCCAAAACAGAGACAATACATTTCCATTTTTTTATGACCCACCCCCTTTGTGGTATTTCTAAAAGCGCCAACAATTCCGTGGTAGGATTCTTGCCTTCCCCGTGGGAAACCTGGCTCTGCTCCCCAGCCAACCCACCCCATGTGCAGCCACCATCTGTTGCTGGGGGCTTGTATGTGGCTGGGATGCTAACGAGATTTTTGCACCATTTTCCAAACTGAGATGCACCAGGAAGAAAGGCCTGTAGATCCCTTTGGGGGAAAAAAATCAGCCATTGAAAACCTATGGATCACAAAAATAGCTGGCTTTGCCACTGATAAGGGGGCTGGGGAGCATTTTCATTGGCTTGAGGCAGGGGTCAAATGAGGAGTAGTTAACAACTGCAGGAAACCACACAGCCAGATACAAAGATGCTCTGAAGGAAAGAGCCCACACGGCCAATGGGATTTGGATAGTGTAACGTGTATGGGAGACAGAGACTAGGCAAAGACTAGGAGGCTGAGGCAGATGGCATGTGCTGGGATCCTGTGGGAATGGCTGGGACAAACACTAGGACAGGACATGATCTCTATGAGGCTGGAGCAGGAGGCCAGGACAAGACAAGTGGGCAGGGACCTTCCCCACTCCCTGTACCTCCACCCTTTGCTGCAGCTCACCTCTTCCGAGCTCCAGCTGTGGAGGAAGGTGCTGAGGGGTCCCCTCTGGACGGGCTGGAGCAATTCAGGCGGGGGTCACTCCCCCAGCGGGGCAGCAGAGAGGGCTCAGGGGTCGGGGGTGACAGGCCATGGAAGCTCCGAGCGCGGGGCCGGGGGACAGCGCCGGGAGGTCTGTGGTGGGCCCTGGGTAGCTGCTCGCTGGAGCTGAGCTGGAAGTCATCATCCATGGAGATGTAAGGGGCCAGCATCTCCAGATCCAGAGCATTGACGTCCTGTGGGAGGGCGTTAAGAGCGTGGGTCTTAGACTCGGGTGGGCCTGGGCTGCAGTCCCAGCTCCACCACTTCTGAGTGGAGGGTCTGAGCTTCTGTTTCCTTATCTGTAAAACGGGGAAAAGGGCATTGTGATAGCCCATCACCGAGATGGTCTCCAACAGTCTCCTAGACTATGGAAAGGAGACATGACTTTGAGTTTAGGTTTTAAAAGACATTGAGGCTTCCCATCTCTGTCTCTACCCTTGACTAGTTCTTTCTCTCTCTTAGGTCACTTGCTTTAAAGAAGTCATGTTAGGAGTGTGGACAGACGTGCATGACAAGGAACCAAGAGGCCTAAAGCCAACAGCCGAGTGGGGGAACCCAGAAGTAGATCACCAGGCTCAGTCAATTTTTTTTGATTACTATAGCCCCAGCTGACATTAGGACTGCATCCTCCAGAGATTTGCCCTCATGCCAGAAGCCAGAACTGCCCAGATAACTGCCCAACTACTCTTGAGCCTTGGAGCCCCAGAAATTGTATACCACTACTACTACTGCTACTGCTACTGCTGCTGCTGCTGCTGCTACTGCTACTACTACTACTACTAATGCCTCAAACAAAACCCACAACAATTCAGGACCTTCAAGTCAGAAATGACTTATCACTGACCTTCCAGTAGGTTTTTTTGTTTTGTTTTGTTTTTAACAAGAGAAAGAAATTGAGGTTCATTAGACATTCATAACAGACTATGAGCGGATCAGGACAGACTGACTCCCTTCTTATCTTACAAAAGGGTTTATATATCCTTTGTTAGGGGAGTGGGGTTTAAACAGCTGATTAGTACACTCCTTCTAATGGTTGTTGGGTGACTTTGGCCATCTCTTATCTTTTCCTTTGTTTTGTTGTTTTGCCACATTCCTTGAGGGTTGGTTTCTATTGTTATACTGCCACAGTCTTTGCTTAGACCAGTTCTGATTGATCTCTTTAACCTTCCAGTAGGTTTTAAGAGGTTATAAATTGCATGGGAGGAGATTAGATCTTTCTTCCATGGAGTTACTGGTGGATTTGAACTGCCTGTCTTTTGGTTGGCAGTACAGTTCCTTACCTGCTGGACCACTAGAGCTCCCTTTGTGTGTGATAATAAGTGTTTTTATGTGTGTGCCTGTATACAACTCTATCTATCCACAATCAACATTCTTGATATCAGCAGCTGGGGAATCAAAAGACAAGTTGCATTGGGAAATTTGCTATCAGAGACCTCTCCAAAGTACTAAAGAGCAACAGTGTCAGTCTGGAGACTAAGGTGCACCTGATCCAGGCCACAGTCTTCACAATTACTTGCTATGCATCAGAAAGCTCAACTAGGGATGATAGAGAATTGATGCCTTTGAGCTGTGGTGATGGAGAAGAGTATTGAATATACCATGGACTGTCAGGAAAGCAAACAGGTTCCTCCTAGAGAGGGTGAAACCAGGCTGCTCCTTGGAGAGCTTCGTCTGGCATGTTGCAAGGAAGGACCAGTCCTTGGAGAGGGACATCATGTTTGGGAGGGTGGAGGGACAGCGCAAGAGAAGATCTTTGATGAGATGGATTGATTCAGTGACTGGGGTAATGAAAGTAAGTATGTCAGAGACAATAAGGTTAGCAGAGGACAGACAAAGCAGGGTTCAGGGCTGTTATACATAGGGTCTCTATAAGTTGCAAATGACTTTATGGCACATTACAACAACAACAACAACATCATCTATCTTTGGGAGCTCTGGTGGCCTAGAGGCAAGAAACTGCACTGCAATCCCAAAAGCATGCAGTTTGAATCCACCAGCTGCTCCATGGTAGAAGAATGAGCAGTCTCCTCCTGTCTTATTAACTGCCTCTAAAATCCTGCCAGAGAGTGAGCTATGGGTTGGTTTTGTATCTATGGTACGTAACAACATATCCCTTTCCTCTCTCCTCCTCTCCTCTCCTCTCCTCTCCTCTCCTCTCCTCTCCCTTCCTCTCTCCTCCCCTCCCCTCCCCTCTCTCTCTCTTTCTCCCTCCATCCCTCCCGATCAATCACTCAATCAAAGAGCTCTGGTTACATTAATTTTAAAGTTAGAGTCTTGTTAGTGTTAAGAAGTTGCACTGCCAACCCAAAGGCACGTGGTTTGAACCCACCAGCTGCTCAGAAGGAGAAAGACAGGCACTCTCCTGTGTGATTTACTGCCTTTGAAAACTTGTTGGAGCGTCAACTATGAGTTGGTTCTCACTGGACAGTACATAACCAAAACATCTATACATATTTACTGTTAATAACACAATCTAGTGTTTGTTGACTGGTAGCTTCAAGGAGAGAATCTTGGAATAAGACTGCTAGGGGGGAGCTCTGTAGTTTTAAGCTGCTGAATTTGGGGGTAATTGGTTCCCCAGCGATAGATAATCAAGACAGATTTTGGTACCAACAGTGGGGTGCTAAAGGAGGAAGTGGACTTGGAACTGAGAAGGGTCTGGAAGTAATTTGAAAAGTATGTCAGACAGAGATCATTAGTCAAAATGTGAACTTTGAGGAGGTTATCAGTGAAGGCTTAAAGGAAGTAAGAAACACATTACTGGAGACCAGAAGAAAGGAGATATTTGTTAGACAGTTTAAACAGAAAGTGTAGCAACAGTATTGTCTGCTGTTATGTGGCAGGTGCAGCTGATGAAGTCTAGCTCTGGAGACTTCCAGTCACAATATCAAACGATTGCTTAATGTCTTCTTGCTAAGTTCAGTAGACAGGATCTCTGATGGCCCAGTGGAAAAGGACATGCACTGCCGACACAAAGCCAGGTGGTTCGAATCCACCAGCTTCTTCGTGGAAGAAAGATGGGCAATCTCCTCCCATGCAATTTACTGCCTCCTAAAATCTACCAGAGCTGATTCCTGCTCAATGACACCTAACAACAAGAACAATAAAAGACAAGGAGAAAGAAGTAACCCTATAAGAAGAACTGTCAAATATGAAGGAACTGTCAAATACGAAGTTGTTGGAAATTCTCAACCTCCCCAGATGGTAAAAGATGCAAAAATTAAATGGTTTTGGGGCAAAGGAGCTCCCTAAGGAAAGTAGGAAAGTGTGGTCTAAAAAAATCCTCGATAAGACATCAGACCAAAGGTGGAACCTCAGAGTATCCTCAGTCAGACAAAAAGCCTCTGCATACAGAATTCAAGCAAGCGGTTTGCACAGCCTCTCGGCCCAACAATTGCATTTCTAACAAACTAAAAGGCACTGCTATTTCAGCCCAAGCCCAAGGTATATGAGGATTTCTTTCACAGAGATTTGTGGGAGAGGGTTTCATCTAACGGAGTGAACTCTAAAAAGATTCATAGGAGATCTACACACAAGGTTTTTAAGAGAATTGTATCAGCAGAGACACTGCCATCTTGGACTGAAAGGGGCCGAGATTGTGAAACATGAAAAGAGGGCTTTGGATCCCCAAACTTCTACAGATAGGAAACAGGCAGAGAAAATGACTCAGCGACAAATATGTTGCCTTTTATGGAGGAAGGAAGGAAGACTCATATAGTTCGGAAGGACCATGGAGAAAAATGACACGTTTGCGCAAGAAGGAGAGTGAATTCTAATCAAAGAATTTCCAATATCTGCATCAATGAATTTCAACTTTGCTATGGGCCAACCTGATCTTGCATCCCTTTGTGGACAGGAGGGTCTATCCAGTTATTCTATCCCTTTTTTTTTGTTCAGATTTGTTTAATAGCAAATATAGTAGTAGAACATGTTATGGGTGAACACAGAAAATGAACATAAAACTAAATAAGTTATAGGAGATCCAGAAAAACAAGGCCAATGTTTAACTATATGATTTGTTTGTTGGTTTTTTCTTTATGAGAATAGCTAATCTGAAGCCACTGATATAGCTGTTTGAATTCTTACCCACTCCCACCCCCCATAACCTGAGCAAAAACTGCAGCTCTAAGATGGACAGGCCCATTTTCAAAGTTATCTCTACCAGTGGCCCATGACAAACTGTCATTTAAGAAACCGACCTGAAGACCGGTCCGAATATGTGGGTCTATCCCTTTTTTTATACCTGTCTGTCAGGTATGAAAGTGGCAGAGAACTTGTGTCTGAAGTTCATAGGCCTAACAACTGGGAAGATAAACTATACTTGAAGAGTCTCATCTGCACCTGGACTTGATTTAGATGACCGAATTCTGCACTCCAAGTAGAAGCCATAATGGGATGGGGACTTTCGGAGGTCCTGGGAAGGACTGAGTATATTTCATGGTGGGGGTGAAGGAAGAAAAATGGGTGCTTACTGATTTCTGACTTTTGGTCTGTGTGACCAATACCATACACCAAAAATGATATATTGCATTATCCATACTGGACTCCTTCTCTCTCCTCTCCCCTTCTCTGTCTTCTAGCTCCAGGCGAAGCCCGCTGCTATGTCATGAGAATACTCAGGCAGTTTATTAGATAGATGTTCACATGGTAAAGAACCGAGGCCTCCAGCCAAAGCCAGCAAAGAACTGAGACCTTCCCACAACCATATGCGTGATCATGGAGACAGGTTCTGACAGCTTGACTTCAAACTCATGACAGATCCTAGCAAATAAACACCCAGCAAAGCAACTTCCATTTCCTGATTCACAGGAACTGTGTGATGTAAGTGTTAGTTGTTGTAAGCTTCTAAGTTTTGTGGTGGTTGGTAGATAGCTAATACAGTATGCCCTGATATCTATCCATTTACTCAATCCACCCAGTCACCCATCCATCCATCAATCCCTCCATCATCTATCTATCCAATGAAGTGATGGCCCAACTATCCAAATATTAACCCAAATATCTGTCTAAATATTATTCATCCATCCATCCATCCATCCATCATCTATCAAATGAACTGATCCCATCTATCCAAATATCCATCTAAACATTCATTCATCCAGATATCTGTCTAAATATTATCCTTTCATCTATCACCACTCACCTAATGAATCAATGATCCGTCAACCCAACCATCCACTCATCAATTTATCATCCATCTTGCATACAATGAACTAACCATTCCCCTAGCCAACTATTTATCCAAACATCCATCCATCCACCAATCCATATCTTTGTCTAAACATTACATAGCTTTCTATCATTATCGACCTAAAGAATCTATGGTCCTTCTATCCAACAATATATTAATCCATCCGTCTATTCAACCATTCCATCATCCACTACAAAACCTGGTTAGGTCAATTCCAAGGGTATAGAGGTGAAAGCCATATTCTCCATAATATCCCTTACCTGAGCTATGTCTACGTCTGTCTCCACTGCCTTGAGATCTTTCCCAGAAGCAAAGAGTCTGTGTGAATTTTCCACATCCACGAGGAATTCATTGGGGAGATCAGCCTGTGGGGAGACAGAGTGAAAACATTAGGAAGTCTTGAGCCTGGGAGATGTCAGTGGTCAGTTAGGCAGGACGTTGGCGCTCTGGGGCAGGAATGGGGATCAAATGGAACCCTAAGGCCAAAGGTCAAACTATCAGGACCTCAAGGGACAAAAGGGTACCATTCATAGACTATTGACCTGTACTAGAGGCCAGGTCTCCTAAATGCTTAACCATGAACGCTCTCAATGAATCCTCACCAAACCAGTGACAGTGCTACCTGTTTGTGTCCTCATTTTACAGGTGAAAAAAAATGGATGAATCCACTGATAAGTGAATTAGCCTGAAATGAGGATTCAGGATTTGGATCTAGGTCTGTGCAACTCAAAATATTACACATTCCCAAAACAAAACAAAAACATTACACATTCCAGACCTCTTGAGGCCAAAGGTCAGAGACCCTAGATCCTTGGTCACACATGTCAGGGAGGTCACCTGTGTCAGCACCAAACATCCCAGATAGGATCCAGACTCTGGAATTGTAATGGTCAAAGACTCATGGAAAAACCGAGGCCCAACGACCAGCAAAGTTCAAGCCAAAGGCCAAGACAGGCTGGACCCTAAGGCCTCAAGTGGTGGGACTACTTACTGGAAGAGGACTTTGGGGGCGCTGCACGGCTGGGGGTGCACTGGGGGTGGTGGCTGTTGAAGCCCCATCCAGAATGGGCGCTAGGAGGTGGCGGAGGTCAGGGCTACAGAAACGGCGTGGGTCAGCGGCCAGGGCAGCCTCGCTCAGGGCAGGGGGGTGCAGGAAGGCCAGGATCCGGGCACTGGGGGTGTCTGCAGGACATGGAGAGGTGGAGAGGGCATGAGGGTGGTCAGCCAGGGCCACAGAATGAAGCCCTCCATTACTGATCCAGGGAAGAGAAAGTGACATCTTCAACCACCAATCAGGATGGAGATCAAACAGGAAGCTAGGCTGTCTAGACATTTGAGCTCAAGGATGGGAACAGGTCCAATGTTAGACAACCGTGGCACCAAGTGGGTGCAAACCATTCTTTGTCCTGGAGAAAGGTTCTAGACATTAACCCTTTGGTAGTCAAACTGGGGAAAGACCCAAAAGGCCCAGGGAGGGGGAGGGGGGAGAATAAAGTGGGAGGGGGCAGCCAGTTGTCAAATACAGTTTGTCAAACAGTGCATAAGTGCTTCTACACTTAAAACCAACAAGGCTGCTGTTGTTGGGTGCCAGTGGGTCAATTTTTGAATCCTGGTGACCCGATATGACTAAACAGAACTGACCCATAGAATTTTTTAGGTGGTCATTTTTTTGAGAAGGAGAGCTGGTGGCAATGGTTAAGTGTTTGCTAACCAACAGGTCAGCGGTTCTAAACCACCGGGCCCTCTGTGGAAGGAAGACAGAGCAGTCTATATCCACAAATATCAATCCCCTTAGAATCTGCCCTGTAGGGTCACTTATGTGTCATTATCAACTTCATGGCAATAGGTGGGTTGCTGTTGGGTGTGTTTGAGTTGATTCTCATGACACAGCTCTACGGGGTTTATGAGGTCTTAATCTTTACTGGGGGGGGGGGAAGCACTGGTGGCCTAGTATGTAAGGAGCTGTGCTGCCAGCCCAAAGGCACGTGGTTCGAATCCACCAGCAGCTCCATGGGAGAATGATGGGCAATCTCTTCCTGTACCAATTATAGCTTCTGAAAACCCACTGTTGGGTTAGTTACATGTTGGTTCCAACTCAATGGCACCTGACAAAAAAGAACAAATTATTTATGGGGTCAGATTGATTGCCAGGTCTTTCTCCCGTGGAGCCACAGAGTGGGTTTGAACTGCCAACTTTCTGTTAGCAGCCAAGCGTTTAACCACTGTATCACCAAAGCTGGAGGATATGGCTGAGCCCTGATTTTCCAGCTGCTCAGAAATCGAGGGGCTTGTGTGTTAGATTAATGGCCTCGTCCTAGGCCCGTAAGATTCCAAGGTCAAATAGTGGGTCCAAATTTGCAAACAGTAATAGAGCGAGAGATCAGCTGGCCTATTAGACAGAAAGTGATATTACCAAGCCGAAGGTGGGTGACTTTTAATCCACGGCCCTTGGGCCTGTCTTTCACTGTTTTTGTTCAGACATTCCTCTAGGTTGTATAGCCCTGGTGTACAAGTTGCCATACAGCGGTCACTTGTGGTTGCTGTGAGACTGAACACTGTGACACTGATGTGTCAAATGTGTTAATGGTTGGTTACCCAATGCGGACAGAGAGTGGGGTGGAGCTCCCCGATTAAAACAAGCTTGGAAGCATGAGTGGAATCCACTTCTGTAATAGCTTGCCTCTGGAAACCTTATGAACCTGGAGAGAGGATGAAAGACACCCAAGCATTGAGGACTCTCCTTCATAGGGTTGCTATGAGTCGCCTGGGACTCGGTGGAACTTAACAACAACAACGATAGCTGAAGAAGAGGAACATATTTAATGTCCCTGAACTATACATGGAAAGATTGCTGATGTTGCACATATCGTGCTAGAGTGATAAAAACTTCAAAGTAATTTTTATAAGATAAAGAAAAGCAGCTCCAAGCTGTTCTTGTTATGTGCCGTCGAGTCGCCTGCGACTCATAGCAATCCTATATACAACAATCCTCACCTCATATCTGGGGAAGGGAGGGATCAGGCTGCCAGTAGTAGAGGAAGTGGGCCTTGAAGGACGGACGAAGAGGGTGGGATTAGGGGGCAGAAGACGTAGGAAGCGCTCAAACCCATTTGGGTCCCTTTGATCCCAACTCAGAGTGGCCAGAAAGGACAGAGGAGAAACGCCTATTGGCTTTCCAAGCTATAAATCTTTAGGGAAGCAGATTGCCTTGTCTTTCTCCTCCAGAGTGGCTGGGGAGTTCAAACTGCTGACCTTTGGGTTAGCAGCTGAGTGCTTAAACTACTGAGCTACTAGGGCTGCACAGAGAAGGTAGAGGTAGAATGGAGCTGCATTTGGGAAGGTGAAGGGGATTATGGGAAAACACTAAGTTCAGAAGCAAGAGAGGGGAACAAGGGGAGGGGCTGTGGAGGCAATAGGGAGCCATAGCAGGATCTGGAGAACAGGGAGACCCAGGATAGCCCACCACCTCAGCCCCCAGCCATACCGAGGCTGTCCCCAGGGCGCAAGGCATTCTTCTGAGAGCCGGTGGCCTGCTGAGGGGGTCTGCGAGAGTGTCTCTCCGTCTGCTCCAGCGATAACACCACTCCAGTCTCTTCTACCCGGCTGGGGTACAGAGCAGAGAGGGGACAGAAGTCAGGAAGAGGCGGCCCCTCCCAGGCACACCCCCATGTGGGGTTTTGTCATGAGAATTAGGACTCTTATCCAGGGGCTGGAGGATATTTTCCAGAAAAGAATCAGCTAATTACATGAGTTTTTCTTAAGGGTTTCATTTCTGTTGTCTGCTTTTCTTTATAATAGCCATTAAAAGAAAGTATTTGTTCTCATGAGACTGAGTTAGTTCACCCAGCATAATGCTTTCCAGTCTCTCCCAAGTTATGTAGTAGTTTTCGAAATCATGGCTCCTGAGTGCTGCATAGTATTCCACTGTGTGAATGTACCACAATTTCTCAACCCATTCAGTTATGGTTGGATATCTTGGCTGTTTTCACGTACTGCATAAGACCATTATTGTAAAAATAGAAGGATAACTGGTAAGACAGGTATGGAAGCTGGAAGGGATGAGAGCAGAGGGGTGAGGATGGATGGGGCAAAGCCACAAGGTTGCACAATTTGGTGGGTGGAGGAAAGAGGGGAAAGGAAAAGGGAAGGATGCAGGTGAACAGACAGGGTAACAATGGGTAAGGTCCAACGATGATTAATTTTTTTGGTTTTTTGTACAATCAGTGTTTTATTCCTTGCCATATATTTTTAAAATTCATTTTAATGAACATTTACAGAGGTTTTGGATTGATGATTAATTTTATAAAACATGATACATGTTAGCCTAGTGGGTAGAAAGTGATGCTACCAAGCCAAAGGTGGGGGATTTTAATCTGCGGCTCTCAGGCCTGGTTTTAATTGTTTTTGGTCAAACATTCTTCTATGCGGTATAGCCCTGGTCTGTCCATTTGCTGTACCGAGGTAACTTGTGGTTGCTGTGATGCTAAACACTGTGACACTGATGTGTCAAATACGATAATGGTTCCCCATGGTGGACAGTGTTTGGTGGAGCTCCCTGATTAAGACAAGCTTGGAAGCAGGAGTGGCATCCACTTCCGAAATAGCTTGTCTCCGGAAACTCTATGAACTTGGAGAAACGATGAGAGTTATACTAGTGTTCAGGTCTTTTGTTCTTAGGGTTGCTATGAGTCATATACGACTCGATGGCACTTAACAACAACAACAATGCATGTGATTGTATGAAACACAATGTATATGAACTTTGCAAGCAACCCAATTAAAAAAAAAAACCCAAAACACAGAAAGAAAAGGAGGCTTATGGTTTCTTAAGCTCCCCTATGTGAAAGGGAAGATACGGAGAGCTGGTGTTCAGTACAGGAGTTGGGGGTGGGGTGCAGACAGAGAAGCAGAGAGAGTGGAGGCATTGATGGGCAGAAAACGGAGCATCAAGGGACAGAGACACGGAATCAAGGCTCTGAGGGGGGGCCTTAAGGGATGGGGTGGGGACAGAAAGAATGAGAGGCAGAAGAATTATTCTCTTTATAGCTATTTACTTGAGAACAAAGTCTTCCAGACGTATTGATGAAGAATATATTTTCCACATATCCTTAAGTATGTTAACCAAATAAGAATTGACAGGAACATATTTTTATGAATAAGATGATATTTATGAAGCCTCTATTCATAGGCATTTTTCGCATGCAAGGGGACAGATTTATAAATACACCCTTCTGATGTCCCCCGCACCTCCCACCCCCAGTCTGTAGCTGCAGAAAGCATCACGATGTATTAGCGACTGCGGAACCGGCCGAGACTGAGACCAGACCCTCATTTGAATATCATTTACATAACAGCCCTACAGAAAGGTATGTGGGCAGGTCTGAGCCACCCAAACTAAACCCACTGGCATCAAGTCCCTCTAACTCACAGCAACCCTATAGGACAGAGCAGAACTGCCAGTGGGTTTCCTAAGGCTGTCAATCTGTATGGAAGTAGATTGTCACATCTTTCTCTTGCAGAGTGACTGGGGGGTTCAAACCACTGACCTCTCAGATAGCAGCCAAACACTAAAGAAGCTATGACCCCTCTTCACCTTCATCAAGTCTCTCTTGAACTGGACACATCCCTAATTTAGTTTAGATAACACATAAGCACACGCAGTATACATTGAGACACAATGTCTACACTGAGATAATTCTCTGATACTAAGAGGAAGATACATAGACCCAAGTACATGCAGATTTGTTAATATGTTCCATCAACAAATAGCTTCATGTGTTTACACACGTCCCACAGAATTCACCTATCTGCTCATTCCATATATACTTGCTAGACAAGCAGCATGGCCTGGTGGTTAAGAGCAAGGGTTCAGCAGTTAGCAAGTCTGGGTTCGAATCCCAGTCCTGCTACCTATAAACTATGTGGTCTCTCATGGGTGAGTCTAATCGGTACTTTACTTTACTTTGGATAAATTTGCTGCAAAAGAATTTATTAAAGACTTGGAAAGGAAAGATGGCACTTTGATGACCAAGACGCATCTGACATAAGCCAGGATCTGTCCCTTCAGTGGTCCTGTATGCAGGCAAGGGTTGGGTAATGAAAAAAGAAAATGAGGCATTGATTTAAACGGCGAGTTGGTGAAGAATAGGAAACATACGGTAGCCTGCCAGAGGATGACTAAATCGGTCTTGGAAGAAATACAACTAGAATGTTCCCAAGAGGCGAGATGGTGGGGTGCCTGGGGTGGGGGAGCTGGAGGACTGATGGGTTCAGACCACAGTTGTTCAAGTTAGCAGCTAGATGCTATGACCGCTGCGCCACCAGAGTCCCTCAGGGTACAGTGTGCTAGGAGAAAAGATGGGGAGACTGTCTTCCTTGTGGGGGTTCAGGTAAGGTTCTACTAGGAAGTGATATATGAGCTGAGATCAGAAGAATAGCACTCCCCCTAAACTAAGGTTCTACTAGGAAGTGATATATGAGCTGAGATCAGAAGAATAGCACCCCCCTAAACCCCAATTCCACTGCCACAGAGTCAAGTCTGTCTTGGAGAAAGTGCAACCAGGGGGCTTGTTAGAGGCAAGGATGGTGAAACTTGGTGTCACATACTTGGGGTCTGTTGTCAGGAGGGACCAGTCTTTGGAAAATGACATCATGCTGCGGAAGGTGGACGGTCAGCGAGAAGAAGACCCCTCAATAAGATGGACAGAAACTGTTAACAATGCAAGCATGGCGAGGAGGGAGGGCACATTGTGTAGAAGGCACAGGACAGGGCAAGATGTTCAGATCTGGTGTTCAAAGATTTGCAATGAGCGGCAGTCGACTCGATGGTATCTAACAACAATGGCGTCAGGTCGCAAGGCTCGTTGGGGTTTTCAAGGCTGTAAATGTTTACGGAAGCTGAATGCTTCCCGTCAGCACAAAACTGAAACCACTGCTTATGAATCAGCCCCTCTCTACGGGGTTTCTGAGGCTGCCAAGACCACGGAGAGGAGACTGCCCATCTTTCTCCAGTGTGTTCAAACTGCCGGCTTTTCTGTTAGCAGCCTACGAAGCCAGCAGGGCTCCTTGGCCAGAAGACTAAGTGGGCATATGTCAGGAGAAAGGGGAGAAAGTAGGAAGTATTCTGGGTAGAATGAAAGAAAAAAAGAAATTCAAACTCAGTGCCATCAAGTTGGAGCCGACTCACGCTGACGTCTGCTCGGTTTCCAAGGAGATTATCCATCTTGGGAGCTGATGGTGGAATCGAACTGCCAGAGGCGCTACATTTGGGTTAGCAGCACAACGCCTTAAGGACTATCTATAGTTATCAGCCAACCATTAACGCGTGTCAAATGCGTTAATGGTTGGCTACCCAATGCGGACTGAGAGTGGGGTGGAGCTCCCCATTGAACAAGCATGGAAGGAGGAGTGGCGTCCACTTCCATAATAGCTTGCCTCCGGAAACACTATGAACTTGGAGAGAGGATGAAAGGCACCCAAGCATCAAGGACTCTCCTTCATAGGGTCGCTATGAGTCGCCTGCAACTCCACGGCACTTAACAACAAACAACAACATAGTTATCAGAACTCCCTGTCCTGGGCAGAGGAACCTGCATATGCAAAGGCCCTGAGGCAGGAAAGAGTCTGGCATGTTCCAGGAAGGCTGGGGAAGCCAGTGTTGTTCGCTGAGTAAGAGAGGAGAGGCCGGATGGAGGATGCAGGGAGGAAGAACTCTCACCAGGAAGTGAGACAGCAAAAAACCCTTGTGGGAAACTACACTCATGCACAAAATGAACACACACGCTCATTTGTGAGCAAACACCTATATAGACTCCACATGCAGGCAGACCACACTCACACACTCAACCCTCTCACTTCTTCTCGCTCCTCCTTACCTGATGAGGAAGTGAATGCAGACGATGCTTTCAGACTGGGGGCCCCGGCCCCCTGACACCACGGTGGCCTGGGTCTGGGTCCACAGGTAGCCACCACTCCGGGCCAGGAAGCGGTACTGTCCTGTCACTGCCTGGCCCTTGCTCAGCACTGGGGTGGGGGTGGGGGGGTCACAGAGAGGGGTGAGGGCTGCAGAAAAGGAGATTGGGGATGGGGTGGGGGGCCTGGGGTTGGGAATGAGAGGGTCAAGGAGAAGGCTTCTTGGATTTTTGGTGCAGAGGGCATGTGTGTGCAGAGGAGGCACCCTGCAATGGGGAAGCTTGCGGGGGCACTGGTGTGTGTGTGGGGGGGCTTCCAGGGGTGTTGGGGAGCTACCAGGGGCTCAGGCCTGGGACATGGCACACGCACAGGTGTGGATACTCTTGCTGACCACGTCGGCGTCCAGCGCATGGATGTACTCATAGGCCGAGCAGCCAATCAGGTCCTCGGGGCTGTAGCCGGCAACCTCTGCAATCCTGGAAACGGAGACCGTGGTCAGACCAGAGGTGAGGGGACTGGGAAGAGGACAGGACAGGGGACACAGGAACAAAGCCAGCAAAAGTCAGTGTTGTAAAGAAGAGAAAGGTGGAGAAAGAGAAAAAGAGGGGTGAGGTAGGGGGAATAACCATTCCCCAAGAGAAGGCAGAGTGGTGCAGTGGCTTAAGCATCTGGCTGCTAACTGGAAGATCAAAGGCTCAAACCCACCAGCAGCTTTGAAGACGAGGCAGTCAGCTTCTAGAAAGCTTTGGAAACCCGTGCAAGCCACTAGTGCCACCTAGGGACCACATATGGGATTGCAGTGAATAAGACGAGTCCATGGCAAAGGATTTGGCTTCTCTATCTCTGTCTCTCTGTGTCTCTCTCCCTCTCCCCCCCCCCCCCCCCAAGGCTCATTTCAGACTTTGGACCTACAAATTATGTGAAATAATGTTTCTGTGTTGTTTGAGAATTTATTACAGCAACAACAACAGGAAACTAATACAAGGAGGGAGAGAGGCCAAATATAAAAGTAAAGAGCGATGTATTTAATATTCTTTGCTGATATGGTTCAAGGGCCTCGATTCTTCTCCGGTCTTCCTTATTCATGGTCCAGCCTTGGCACACATAGGCTGACTTTAGCCAAAAAAGGAAGGACAGGTACACGGGGGACATAATATCCAGCCTGGTTTCAATTCCCAGCCAATGCACCTCGTGTGTATTCACCACCCAACTGTCAATGAAAGCACAGGTTGCTGGGATGCTGAAGAGATTTTTGTGGAGATTCTAGATTAAGATGGAGTAGGAAGAAAGGCCTGGCAATCTGCTTCCAAAATTCAGCCCATGGAAACCCAATAGCTTCAAGAGTTCAATTCACTCCACTGTGGATGGAGTTGCCATGTGTCAAGGGCCAGCTTAATGGATGGATGCTAGCAACTAGTACAGGCGGGGCAATGAAAATGAGTTCGTATGGCAGCCTGAGCTTTTCCTGTGGGCTAGGCACTGTGGGACCTGCTTTACAGGAATTGATGCAAAGACAGAAAGAGAATCAAGGATTAGAAGAACCATGGGGAAAAACAGAGACAGACAGACACACAGGGAGAAAGACAGAGACGGGTGGAGTAAGAGAAAGAAGGGGAGCTCTGGTGCCCTAGTGGCAAGGAGCTGCAACTACAATCCCAGAGGCGAACGGTTCGAAACCACCAGATGCTCTGCCGGGGAAGGAGGGACAATCTCCTCCTGTACCAGTCAGATCTGATTTGACGGTACACGCACACAAAAATAATAAAATTTAAAAAGAGAGAGAGAGAGAGAAAGAAATAGAGAGGGGACGGGACACAGCGAGGAGCCTGGCAGGTGTCAGGGCAGCCACCTCTCGTCACAGTAGGTGAACTTCATGTCCAGGCTGTGGCGGCTGAGGAAGGCCCCACGGCCCAGTGGGGGCTCCAGGCTGCCCGGGTGGGGGATGGCTTCACAGATGAGCACCAGGCACTGTAGTGGGGGCTCCAGGTGGGGGGTCCCAGCTGGGGAGGTCTGTGCAGGGGGCTTGTAGACCCTCATGTGCCCGGAGCAGTGCAGCACCTGTGGAGGAGCTCGGCTCAGTAGGCCTCTGGGACCCGTGTGAGCATGTCAGTGGGTCTGGGACACTCGGGGGGGTGGGGGGTGGGGGGCTGGAGATGGGCATCTGTGGGCCCCACAGGGAGCTGGGAGGCAATCTCTCAGGGCTATAGAGAGCCAACTCTGAGCACCCTCAAATCCCAGACCCACGGAAAGCCATGCTTAAAAAGCTTTGAAAATCCCCTAAACACTAACCCCATAGAAACACAAGCATAGGAGGCTGCTGACCCTCAAATTCTAACCCCACGGAGACCCAGGTTCTGAGGAAGCCTCATTCCCCAAGATCAGAGAAACCCAGGGGGAAAGGGACTGAGAATTCCAATGCCCACAGAAATCCAGCCTAACGAGGGAGCTCTGGTGGCCTAGTGGCAAGAAGGTGCACTGAAAAAAAAAGGTGCACTGTAATCGCAGAGGTAAACTGTTAGAATCCACCAGAATCTCCTCCAGTACCAGTCAGATCTGATTTGACGGTACACATACACAAAAATAATAAATTTTTTTTAAAAAAAAATCCAGCCCAAGAAAGATTACATCTTCTCAGATCCCAACCTCCTAGATATCCTATGGCCCTCTAGATCCAACCTGAGGAAGGCTGGAGAACATATCTAGATGGTTCGGCGCCAGCAGCCCCGCCCCAGACCACGCCCCCGTCGCCCAGGCCACGCCCACCTTCCAGGTGGCCGCTTTGAGGTTGAGGGTGCGCCCTCTGCTGGTGAGGGTGCTCTTCATGCGCAAGGAGAAGCAGCGCTCGGTGGCGGCCTCAGGCTTCTTCTTGGACAGGCCTGGGGACACAGGGAGTTACTGCCAGGCAGTGCAGGAGGGCCTCAGTTTCCTCCAGTAGCCCCGCTGCTAATGTCTTTCCAGCCTCACTTCCAGAATTGGGACCTGGAACCACAGAAGGTTCCCCCTAGACAGAGCTGTAGCCCCTCAACCCCAGGGACAGGGCTACATGACCTCAGAACTCTTAGGGCAGGATCATGTCCTTTCAGACCTCAGGGTAGGGCTGTGTCCCCTCAAACTCTCAAGTTAGGGCCCTATCCTACCTGGACAAGGCCCTTAAGCCCCTGAGACAGGATGGAGTCCTCCACATTTCTCTCAGTTCAGTGTTTCAGAGAAAAAGGGGACAGGCTGAGGGAAAGGTGGAGCCTCAGTTTCCTCATCTGTACAATGGGGACAGAAGGCGTCTGACACTCACTCTGCCTGGGGGTCAGGGCGTCCTGGAGCTCCTCTTGGTCACAGGGATGGATGAAGTCAAAGATACTGTGTCCAATGAGTTCAAGCTGCGAGCAAAGCAGAGGCCAATGACTTGGATGGAAGGGCTCTTTCATCAGGATCTAACCTTCTCCTCTTCCTCCTCACACCCCTGCCCTAATCCAGAGCCTGGGCTACTTCACCAACTCCTTATTCATTCATTCATTCACTCATTCAATGTTTATTCAGCCAAGGCTTCTTCTTAATGGATGGACACAGAAGTGACCATACAGCCAAAATTCTTCCTTTGGAGGGATTACTGTCTAGTGGGGAGAGACTGTCAATAATAAACCAAACACAACCCAAACTATACACATAGAGAAGAGAGCCCTGGTGGCTTAGGGAGCTACATGTTGAACTGCTACCAAAAGGTGGGTAGTTTGAATCCACCAGCTACTCTGAGAAAGGCAGCCTCCCTTTGTAAAGATTTACAGCCTTTGCTCATTTCAATCAAATAGCAAGCAGACCTGTAAGGTGATCAGTAATGCCAGGGAGGCACTCTCTCCTTAGAAAACCCAACCATTTAAGGTCAAAAGAGCAGCACTTGGCGAGCTCTGGTGGCCTAGTGGCAGGAAACTGCACTGCAATCCCAGAGGTGCGCGGTTCAAATCCACCAGATGCTCTGCTGAAGAAGGAGGAACAATCGCCTCCTGTACCAGTCAGATCCAATTTGACGGTACACACACACACACACACACACAAATAAATAAATAAAAATTGAAAAAAAAAAGAGCAGCACTTGTCTAAAAGATGAAGCCTTGAAGGCCAACTGGGAGGGGCTGGAGAAAAGGACTAATGGAAATGAGAATCATAGGGAGGAACTGGGGAAAGTGTGATGACTATGGGTATTGTAATCAATGTTATAAAACTAAATATGCATGAATGGATGCATGAAAATGCAGCCTGCTCTGTGAATTTTCACTTATTTTTTCCTTTCTTTTTTTTTTTTAATTATAGCCTTGGAGGGAAGTCTGGTGGCCTCGTGGCAAGAAGCTGCACTGCAATCTCAGAGGTGCATAGTTTGAATCCACCAGATGCTCTGCTGGAGAAGGAGGGGCAATCTCCTCCTGTGCCAGGCAGATCTGATTTGATGGTACACACACACACAAAATAATAAAATATAATTAAAAAAATTATAGCCTTGGGAACACAATGCACTGTAACTAAGTATAAGTCAGAATCAACTCTATGGGAGTGAGTATATTTTTAGCATATATATGATATATCAGGCTATGGGTTGATTCTGACTTGATGGTACACGAAAAGAACAAATATATACACACACACAAATACATATGTGTGTGTGTGTGTGTATATATATATATATATATATATATATTAGTATATATTATGGAGAAAATAGATTAAACAGGTTGCACAGGAGCTCTTGACATAATGGGTTAAGCATTAAGCACTGGGCTGCTAACCTGAGGGTTAGTGGTTCAAATCCACCAGCTGCACCATGAAAAATGTGGCACTTGACATCTGTAAGGAATCTAGCCTTGGAAACCTTATGAGGTAGTTCTACTTTGACCTATTGGGTCACTTTTAGTCAGAACCGACTCAACAGCAGTGGGTTTAGGTGGTATAGCTTGAGCTTAAAGGTGGGCAGTTCAAGCCCACCCAGTGGGACGGTGGAAGACAGATCGGGCAAAAAGGTTCCACTAAGATTGTTGTCGCTAAGATTACGGTCAAGAAAACCCAAAGGAGCCATTCTCCTCTGAGTTGGAGCAGACTCTATTGCAACAAGACCCACAGTGATCCAGGCAAAGAGGAGTGAGACCAGAGAGTGGTGAGGATGCTATTTTAGAGAGTTGTCATGGATACAGCTTCTTTAAAGGAGCTCTGGTAGACTAATGGCAAGAAGCTGCACTGCAATCCCAAAGGCACAGGGTTTGAGACCCCCAGCCACTCCGCAGGAGAAGGATGGGCAGTCTCCTCCCATGTGATTGACTGCCTCTGAAAACCTGACAGAGGGTCAGCGATGAGTCTGTTCCAACTCAACAGTAAACAACAACAGCGACAACAACAACGCTTCTTTGAGGCAGGGCCTTGAACCTGGCTCAGAAGAGACTAGAAAAGAGTGGCTAGATAATGAACACTGCATTGGGACAGATGAGGGGAAGAATTATCTGGGAGGAATATATGATTAGGCGTTGCATGCATGACAACAATCTGGAGGAAGAGGTGCTTTGCAAAGTGGACTGAGGGAGGGAGATGGGAGGGACAGAGAGGAAAATGTGCAACAATCAATGAATGAAAACTCAACCTTTCTGTAAATATTCTTTAAAATGACAATAAAAAAGTTGATTTAAAAAAATCCTTCCATGTTCTAGAGAGTTAGAACGCTTTGGCATTAGAATGCCTTGGAGATAAACCCTTGAATGTTGTGTTGTGTGTGACATTGAGTAAGAACTGATTCAACATAGCTGACCTTCTGGTGGGTTTCCTGAGGCATTTAATCGCACGGGAGGAGACTGCACATCCTTCTCCCCCGGAGCAGCTGGTGGATTAGAACTGTGTGCCTTTGGGATTACAGCACAGTTTACAGCCCTAAATTATCTGATGGCTTCTGTATCTTCTCCGTCATCTTCCACACTTTGTTCTTTTTGGTGCCATCAAGTAAATTTTGATTCATAATGACCCATGTGATTGAGCAGGACTGCCCCATAGAATTTTCTAGGTTGTAATCTTTATGGGAACAGATCACCAAGTCTTTCTCCTCCTGGGTGGGTTTGAACCACCACTCTTTTTGTTAGCAGCCCAATGCTTAACTATTGTACCACCAAGGCTCCTTATCCTGCATCTCAACTTGAACTCACTCATTGCTGTCAGGTTGGAACCAAGTCATAGCTGACCCTTCAAATCAAACCAACCAAACTCACTGCCATGGATTCATGTCCAATGCCCAGCCACCCTTCCTCGGGTTTCCAAGGCTGCAAATATTCATGGGAGGAGACTGCTCATTTTTCTCCTATGGAGCTGCTGGTGGACTCAAACTACCAACCTTTAGGTTAGCAGCCTGGCACGTTACATGCCTCTCATTCCTTGATGTTGTTATGTGTCAAGTCAGAAGAACCAACCCATTGCTTATCTTCCAGGGCATTTTCAGAGGCAGTAAATCACACAGGAGAGTGAGTGCCCATCCTTCTCTGCAGAGCAGCTGGTAGATTCGAACTGTGTGCCTCTGGGATGGCAGCACAACTTCTTACCAGCTATCCTTCCACCTCTCATCGCCACTAATAAATTTTGATCATTATACCAACTGCTTTCTTTTATCTTACCTCTAAGCCTTTGTAATTTTTACATCCTCTGTCTCATATGGTTCCCAGTCTTCACTGGTTCCATTCATTTCCCCAAGCCCTTTATCTGACTAGCTCCTTCAGGCTGTAGCTCAGATATAGTTCCCTGCAAAGAATTACTTGCCTCCCTCTGTGTCCCAGATCAGGTGTTCCCCCCACCCCCCCATCCCCATGGGGCCTCCAACTGACCCCCTACTCAGTTGGACTCTTCATGTCTGGTGATACATCTGTCCCCTCTGTACTCTAAACCCCCTGAAAGGCCAGGGCCTCCCTGATCACCCCTAAACCCCCAGCATCATACAGCACAGACCACCTGGGTACAAAGGGGCATCCCCTCTCACCTGACTGAGGCCCAGGTGTTTGCTGACATTCTCCGACAGGTAAGCCATGTCTCCCTCGGCCGTGAGCACCATGACGAAGCCCTCCAAGGCCTTCAGGTAGCAGGCATCCAGCGCTTCTCCCCCTGCTCCCACCTGGTTCCACTCCCCTGGTGCCAGGCAGGGTTATTCTAGTCAGTTCTGGACCTCCACTACTCACCTCCATCAGCGGAAGTTACAGGTGCCCAAGGTGAGGGGGGACACATCCCAGTGGCTTAGAGTCCCAAGGAAATAAGGAAGACCACCGAGAGATGAAATTCTAAGAGAGGAGAGCTTCCCAAACCCCCCTTGCTGTTGAATGAATTCTGACTCTCAGTGACCTCACTGGCCAGGGTAGAACTGCCCAGAAGGCTTCCAAGGCTGTAATGTTGACAGAAGCCAACTGTCACTTCGTTCTTCTGTGGAGGGGCTGGTGGGCTTGAACTGATGCTGTACTTTGGGGTTGGCAGCTGAGGCTTAACCACTGCACCACCAGGGGGCTCCGTTTTAAGGAATATATCCGTCTCACGTACTTTTTAAAAAATTATTATTATTATTTGTGTGTATGTGTGTACCGTCAAATCAGATCTGACTGGTACAGGAGGAGATTGTCCCTCCTTCCCCGGCAGAGCATCTGGTGGATTCGTCTCACGTACTCTGGGCACCGATCAGGAGGGACCAGTTTTTGGAGAAGGACATGATGCTTGAAAAGGTGTAGGGACAGCATAGGAGAGGAAGACCCTGGGTGAGATGGATTAACACAGTAACTGGGGAATGGGGGTAGGTGTGTTGGAGTCAGTGAGACTGGCTCAGGATAGGGCAGGGTTCAGAGCTATTCTGCATAGGCTTACTGCAGGTGATTTGATGGCACATAACAATAATAAATTATATATATATATATAAT